CCAGTAGTGTAACTGGTGCTGATGTCAGACACACGCCCAGGCCACATGCACGGCCCCCAAATTAACCAATCATAAGCTACAACAACAGTCACAGGGGTGACTCATAACAGGAAGCATAACTGGTGCGGATGGTGTAACAGGCTTTGGTCGTACCCGTGCATGTACGACCAAAGCCTCATACATGCACGCACGTCTGTGACTGTGTGATGACAGAAGGAGGCATAAATGAAAGCCCTTCATAAAGCCCAAAGCAAAAGGCACTATAGAGGTGCAAGTTTTCAACAAGTAAACGTGAAGGTTTGAAGTCAGACTGATGGAGCTGATCCTCAGGTCACTCGAAATAATTATTAATAGGAAAACTGCAGGAAGGTCATGGGCTGATGGTGATGATGTCCTTTAAAAACCAGCCTCGTGTTGTAAACCCTCTCCTCATGCATCCTTAAGACTAACAAAGAGATCGACGGCAGTTGGCTCATGCCTCACATGGCATCTGCCACGACGAGACAGCAAAGGGCGAAGGGGCAGGTGTGTGTGAGTGTGTGTGAGTGTGTGCGATGGTACGGTGTGTGTGTGAGTGATGGTACTTCTGTCTCTGGAATGAGCAGTTTGAAGGTTAGGTGAGGTTTGAGGGCGCAGACTCAGTTTAGCCGCAGGTCACTGGCAGGCTGGTTTAGGTCAGGATGGTCCTCCCATAAACACAGCTCTGGTCTCTCATGTGAGAGCAGGTGTGTGTGCTGGTATGTGCAGGCGATTCAAACACAAAGATCAGATTTAACAAAGACACAAAAATAATCTTATAAACTAGTCTGAGCCTCAGTAAGGTCTCATGTTTGTGCAGTTACTCACAGACCCACACTAACCAGTCCGCACCATCATCACCGATCTCTGCCTGTATTCCAGCATAAAGCTGTAATACAGGCTCCAAGCTTACTGAGGATTTATGCTTCAGCTGGAAATCTGCGCCATAACCAGCGGTGTAATCTGACCTTTCACTTTCTTAGAGATCTACAGCTACTGTCATTGGTCTGTTCAGCACCAACAGTTCCTCCTGTGACTCTATCAGTTAGAGAGAAACGCTCATCGTCTTAGCATAAAGAAAAATAGTCATAATCATCAACAGAAGGACTCACAGATGTCAGCAGTTTCCTGGAGAGTATAACGTCCCCGCATAGTTTCTATGAGCTGGACTGGCCGGGACACGAGCACATGGGACTCAAAATACAGAAATACAACAACATCATCACACACTCACAGAGACAGTCCTGCAGTGGATGGACAGATGAAGCACTGCATTCCTGTGAGTTTTATTTTTTTGGTCCAGCCTCCACCAAGTTCTGGAGGGCCTGGTTCTGCTGAGGCCCGGGAACTTGAGAAGTTTAGCAGCAGGTCGGAGAAAGCTGAGATCACTTGACCTTCATCAGTGACAGCCTTCCTTGGAGATGCTTAGAGGATGTGTTCAAGTGAGTGAGTTTTGTCATAATGTCCCTGCGTAAACACACACGCACACACAGACACGCGGACTCACACACAGACACACACTCAGTGGCCTCTGTTTGAAAGTCATTCTGCAGTCGGCCTGTCACACCCGATCACTCTCTACAGCCGCCACACAGTCATGTCTTCCGTGTCACGCTCTCGTGTCCTCTCTGAGGACATGATGCAGTCCTGCGATGGCGGCCAGCTAAAGCTCGGCGTAAACACAAAGCCCACCACGCTGTCTCAAACAGCGACAAGATCACACGTCTCCGTCACCACACGCCACCTTTCACCTCACCTGTCTGTCAAAAATTTTCAAGAGAGAAGAAGAAGAGCGACCTTAAAGAGACGAAGCAGGAGAGAGGCTTTAAGAGGCGAGCGAGACAAAGGAAACCAAGAGGAGAGACGGGATGTGAAACACAAAAGTAGGACAGGCAGTAGATTAAGCTCAGCAGCTTTACTCTTATTGCCTGTGACAGTTTCTTGTGCATTAACATATGCATGATGTAGTGGATACTGCAGGACATGCACGCAGGAACAGCAGATAATCTCCCAAACTACTGCATGAATCAGGCGAATATTTCCACGAGGATTTTCAGCTCTCAGGAGAGTTTGCTGGGCATCTGTTCGATCTGTTTTTAACACGGTTTGCATTTCTGAAGGACTTTACACTTCGACAGTGCAAATAACAGCAGTCTGAGTGCTACATACCCACTTTATACTCCATTCACAGTACTTAAACAGCATTAACACTGAGGCGTTGTGTTGAAATCTCTCTGCTCAGTGGATAAACTGGGCATGGCGTGAATGATTTGAACTGGTTGACTGGGAAATGTCTGTGTTTTTACCTCAAGAAGAACTAAATCCAGAAGAGCAGACTCTTTGAAACAGGACTCTGTCCTCTCCCTGTTATCAGAAAATACTGGAAGCATATCAGCAGATTAATCTGTCATCAAAATAAAGTAAATTATGTCCTTACAAGCTGTTTTGGTTGCCTTCCCAGTGACAAATCATCAGACCCCTATAGCACCTCATCCGGGTGGTGGGAACACTGCAGGGCAGGCTCTTTCAGGCAGGGTCTCAGCCATAAGCCCATCTGTCTGGGGAGACCCTCTGCCTTTGTTTGATTCACAGTCTGGTCCAGTTTTCCTGATGGTGGCATTATCAGATGATCCAGACAAAAGAAATAAAGCTTCCTTCAAAGCTGTCTGTGCTCGGCCTGAGAGGCAGGCTCAGAGTAGAGCCGCTGCTCCTCCACATCGAAAGGAGTCAGCCGAGGTGGCTCATCACCTATCCAGACAGCGGGATGGGATCCTGGAACAGACCGAGGACAAAACAGATAGAATGTGTCTCTCCACCTGATTGGTTAAACCCATGGGCTAGTCTGTCCACATGTCAGCTGCTAAATGGTTCCTGTCTACATCCGGCCATTTTAAAAAGCCTGCTCCCAGCAGCAGTGTTTTGGTCCTTTCCCCGATCTCCAAACCTCTGATAATTCAGTGTTTTACATGGAGAAACAGTAGCTCTGCTCCCTGCTCGTTAACTAAATTGTGTAGTTTATAAATGGCTGCTCTCTCTCACCGTGGTTGTTTTCCCCTGTTTTCAGTCAGTTATGGAGTTTGGTGTCATGTAGGGATGCATGTTTAATGCATCTTTGGTGTGCCGCCCTTCCTCTTGACTAAACGTGTTGATAAACACTGGTTACTGGTTGGTTTGTGGGCGAGGCCGTGGACTGTGGTTTAACATTAATTTGGCCCTCATAAATAGCAGAAAGTGGATGCATGCATGGACAGTGACACTTACTGCAAAGAGTCCATCAGAGTCTGGCCCTTCTCTCTCTTTCTTCAGTCAGGTCTGAATTTTTTACACATGCACAAAACCTGACTCATCAGTTTGTTTTGAGGGCCGAACCGGACTCGGCGTGAGGTCCAGACTGCAAGGCAGTGAGAGGCAAGCCCATGAAGCTTATTAAACACAGTTTGTTCATCTCTCATAAGCAGCCAACTGTGGCACTGCCGTCGCCCATCTTTCATGAGGGGAGGATATTTTTCCCCCAGTGTCTCATTAGCATCCATGCTGCTGCCAAAACAACCCGTCTTCTTTCAAAGGAGTCCAAATCAGCCACTTTTTGTCTTTGGAAATTTTGGTGTGAAAGACTTCAAACATAATCTGTTGGATTTACTTCCACTCGTCTGTGAGTGTGGGACAGGTCTGTATGATAAATGTAGAGAGGAGAAACTGTCCCCTTCACATCTGCGAGAGTCGGCTCCCATTCATTTCCATTTCTGTAGCTGTTACAGCGTATGATGCCATCTGTGAATCATTTTCAGCTGAATAAAATTGCTCTTTTCTTACTTTCTTTATGTTAGTCACTCTGTAAATCCATCTGTTTTAGTTTGCTGATCTGAGCGAGATGCAGGGTGAAGCCCAGCGATAATCAGGGCGTGTCCTCAGCATCGAAACTGTTACACAGAGCTGAACGTCATGCTTCCCACATGCCTCCATTGTTGGCGCTTTGACTGGGGCTTTGACGTCACCACGCCACATTCTTTTCTTCTTCTGTGGTTTAATGACACCTGCTAAATCACCTCCACCAGCTGTTGTGCTCCATCAACCGATGATGAATCCCATAAAAAAAGTCAACCCCAGAGGTTGTTTGTGCAGCTGCTGCTTATTACAGTCCATTGTTAGGCTTAATTACTAAGGACCACTCAGTGTCATGTGACCATCAGTCCTTCCTGCAAAACCCCCCAAAATGACACGTGTTTGCTTTCAGTGTTCACGGGAATGATTCTGCAGACGTGACGAGCAGCATGTAGGATTTAAAAACACACTCTCATTGAAACACCCACAGCATTACACTGCCTGTCCATTGTGCCTGCGGTTCAGCTGGGGGCACACCAGGAGGCGCTCGATGGAGTGAATAGAACAAAATGTTATTTCCAGCTGATTGTACACAAAAGTCTGTTTCATTTTTGCTTCCATAAGTCCAGCATGAAGGAAAACTACTCTTCTGTCCTTTAGTTTTTCTCACAGTGATTGCCATAAAATGCTAGCACTCTGCTGATGTGTGCTGATTGGCCGGTTCAGGATTTAGGGAAGGTCTTCCTCCCTCAATGGTGTCCGTTTCGAAGCGATGACTCCAGCAGATGTTAGCAGCGTCGTTAAAGCCCAGCAGAAGCTACCATGTGTGTAGAAGCAGCAGCTGGTTGTGGTGGTTGAAGGTGATGCTAACAGGGGGCTGCTGCTCGCTTTACACCCCAATTCAAGATGAGGGGCGCCGTTTTCGTAAACTGACAGAAAGGTCTTCCATGAACATCTAAAAATAGAAGTGTTTCGATTGTCTCAAGCCCTTTGGGGGAGGTTTATTCTCCAGAGGCAAAGAACCCCATTCACTCTAGGCAAGATTGACAGCGCG